GCTGTGTGGTATTGGCCGATACCGATACCATCCGTATATATATACAACCGTGTGTATATATGAAGAACTGCATACTGCTTGGATGTAAAATAATTGCCATCATGGCTTTGTCAAGCTGCTGCCTACCTTTGTGAAGCAGGAAAAAGACTAAGACAAAGTGAATCCAGTAGAACATTTTATTGCCTACCTGGAATGGATGATAACAGTTAAATGAACTTGGCTCTCAAAATGGTATCGGTGCCCTCTTTGTCGGCACTTGCCGATACCGATACCACCATTTTAGTGCAGGATCGGGGCCCCGCCCGATACTGGTATCAGTGCAACACTATTGCATATTCTGTTGGAATCAAACCTAAACTCAAGCAGAGCTTGAGCACCTGCTTCCCATTAGTTGAAGTATTGCTTTAAAAAAGAAATAGAATTGGTGTCATCAACAAAAAAGAAGAGTATTTCTTTAACACATTTGCGTGTAAATGACAGGTTTTTAACTTAACCAAACTCCATCCTGCTTGGTTATTATGCTTGAGTAGTTTTTCTATGTGAGAAACTCAGATCAACAGTTGCCAGTTGGAGGGGAATGAGAACAACTTCTCTTTTTATGTTCAGCTGGAGTGGATCCTTTTCAGGGCTGCCTGTAAAAGTGCTGTCACCATGCAGGTTCAGAGCTGGAAAAGCTGATTGTAATGCAGCTGCAGAACAAAAAGGGCACATCCGAGCGTTTTTTACACGAGGGGAATAAATAGGCGTGATGAAAAAGAATGTGAGATGAATGCTTGATTTTATCTTTACTCCCCATCAGACTCTATTGCCTCCTTTTCTCCTCGAGTGTCTGACGGATGCATGGCGGCAGGATTCTCAGACGTTCCACCTTTTGAATTTAAATTTCCCCATCCTTAGTTTTTTTTTTCTCTCTGCAGGTTGATGTTTTCTTACCGAGCGCCCGCAGGGTCGCTTTCAAGCCTGACCGCCAACAGCTCACCACCGCAGCCCGCCTCTTGAACGGGCCGATCGATCGCCTCGGAGACTAACGAGACGAGCGCGCCGGATTCCACCGGGGCTGCCAGCGGTCGAGCGGAGCTGCCTCTCTGTTGCCTGGAGCCTGCATTGCCATGGATACGGAGTCCACCTATTCTGGCTATTCCCATCACTCTGGGCGCTCCCGGGGATCGCATAGGCATGGGTAAGACCAAATCCTGCTCCTTAATTATTTATCTTTATGCCTCTGGTGCCACTTGACTGTTTTAGATTGTGTTTTAAACCATGTACACAAAGTCTAAGATGTTCAAGAAAGATATTTAATTTATGAGTCCCAACGCTGCTCTGTCAGTAATATGATGTTGACAAGGGAAAATTCATCACTGAAAAAAAAAATGTCTTCACCCATATTGCTGTTTGTGACATGAAAGCTGCTCTATATTTTTTTTTTTATAATGCCACCACTGTGGTTCCTCTGCTGTCTGGAGAAATTTATGTTTAAAAATCTTCATATTTCCAGATTATTCCCATCACATAGTCTAAAAGGTGTATCCTTTCTTTTTTATTAACTAACTTCCTTTGCTTCCTAGTACTCTTTATCCAAATGTTCTTAACATCTATCTGCTTTTCTTAGTGTCCTTGCTTCTAACCTAGTTTTCCTTTTTCCTTGTGTTATCCCCCTTGTTTCCTTCTTTGCTAATGTCTTTTCTAGTTGCCTTGTATCCTTCCTTTCTATTATCCTTTCTTGTTGTCTGGTCTCCTTCTTTCCTTGTTACCGTGTTCCCTTCTTTCCT